TTTTTTGAAAACTCATGACACAAGCAACGAATCAGAAGAATCAAATCTAGTTACCAAAAAAGCAATGATAAATTAAATCACAACCAGCCACGTATTTTTCATTTTCTTGTGCATGCTTCCAGAAAATATCAAATATGATAGTTCTATAAAACATAATTTTGGTACTTTTTTTACACATACCATTTATTTAATGGCAATAAAGGGTGAATTTATTGTCCTAGGTCCATGGCCTTTGAATGCCCTCTGGTGGCCATATCTTAGCAATTGCAGGGGCAGCCTGGCTCTGTCACTACTACCCATCTTTTCATACATTTTTTATTTTTCTCTTTACTCTCTCTGTATCATGCATCAATGAACTATCTCCCTAATACTTTCAAAAAAAATTAAAGAAAAATTCTAATTCAACATTTTCAATACATCATTATTATTATTATTATTATTATTACTACTACTACAATTATTATTTATAATGAATATATTTTTTTGTATGTTTTATTTTTATTTAATGTATTTAAATTTTATTTTTTTAATAATTTAAATAAATTTCAATTATAATATTATAATTAGAAACGTAGGGAACACTCCTCAAATTTTAAAAGGAAAAATCCAAACTACCAAACACATCTCCCACGTGCACGTACCCATACATACATGATGTATCTAACAAAAATGTTTTAATATAACAATAAGAGAAAGGAATATTAAATATACAATTTTATGTGAATAATTAAAATTAAATATTATTTAACATTATATACTTTTTGTACTCAGATAAAATATATGATTAAAAATTATATATTATAATAAATATTTATGATAAATTTTAATTATAACTAAAACTCTTTATTTTCTTATTTCAAATTAAAAAAATGCATATCTCAGAGAGACAATTGAAAAATATTCGATCATGGCATCCTAAGATACTGTTGACACGTGTCGAAATTTGCTTATCCTAAACATTAAAATATTAAGTACGTGTCTATAGAATTTCATGCACGCACGGTGATGCTGCTGTACCAAATCCGGTTTTTTTGTTCGAGGTTTAAAAAAAGCGAGTGTCGGTTAAATTACACGACAAAATCAATTACTTTTCTCTGTAAATTCTAAAGCAACATTTATGATAAAATTAGTTTAAGTACATATTTTAATTATATGAATAGTTGAAAAACAATTTATTAAAATTAATTGTGTACAAACAGATCTAAAAACATATGAATGTGTTATTAGGTAGTAATAAGTTAGAGTAAATATATAACTTAATCACTAACAATTATAGTCTCTTAACCAAGGACGGAGCCAAGGGGGGACCTACGGGTGCCACGGCCCCCCAACAATTTTAATTTTTTTTTATATTTTTTTATATGCTTTTGATACTTTAATTTTCATTTATTATAAATTATATATTATTTATTTTCGGCCCCCAGTATTGAAATCCTGGCTCCGTCCCTCTCTTAACATTATACTCTATTGTTAGACATTCTAGTTCTCTATCGATTTCATTTAATATTTCTACCGATTATTTTATTTTCAGAAGAAAATATTACCCTAATGATTAGGGGTTGCTACGAATTAGATCGAAGTAGATTCGATACATTTTTAATTTGACATGATCAAGTTCAATAGGTTTGTATTGATTTTTTTTCTTTCATTTTCAGTCTTCAATATGAACTGATCTAATTTAATCATATTTAATTTGATTTTGGCTCAGTTCATTATATTAATCATTAAAATAATATGAATTTTCAAAAATAAAAAATTACATTACAGAAAACATGTAAAACATGTTGGTATGTCATCAACTAGTAAAATATTTAATATTATTAATATTATAAAGTACTCAAAATTTATCAAGTATAAAAACATTATAAACTCAATAAAACCTAAAAATATATCATGCTCAACAATGTTATAAAGACACCAAAAAGAAATTCTTAAGCCAACACTATATAACAAGTTTGTGAAAGTACTCTCAGACATTAAATAGATTTATTTTACGGTAAAAATCCAAATTTGATAACCTAAACCAAACTTGATAATAATAATAAGTATAATATAATATTTATTTAATTATATATATCAAATTGATTTAATTTTTAGAAATTAAAATTCGAGATTCAGACTATCTTAATTAGATTTCTAATTTTTAAATTTGAACTGATCTAATAGTCTAACTGATTCATTTTTTTTTGTCTGATTCAGTTTTATTAGATCAATATATTGGTTTAGATCTATATATAGTCTTAATAATAATAATGAAAATAAAACTTAAATTCTCATAAACTTATCTTAATCTCTTGTTATAAGGTAGATTATAGTATAATTTTTTAACCAATTAATTGAGATCTCTAATATATTTTAGATGGATTAATTAAGGTTTAATATATAATTTGACTCTTGAACTATTAGAAATTTTTAAATAGGTCTATAGACTAAAAAAAATTATAATCTAGTCATTCATATTTTTTATTATTTAGTAATTTAGTCCTCAAAATTAGAAGTCTCTTTATAATTGGTTAAAGTTGATAAAATATTTTTTTTATAATTTCATATCTAGATAATTATATTAGACTAATATTTCATGTCATCATCGAGTGACAAATATGAAGTTTATTTTTAGAGGAGGCAAAAAAAATAGTCTATAATATTTCTATATAAGAAAAATATAATAAATTTTTATAAATACATATTTTTATGACTAAAGAATCTAATATACCTAATTTTTTTTATATACAAATTAGGATTATTTAGTGATTAGAGTGACAACTTCTCATTTTTTTTCTTTGTTCGAGATTGTAATGAGGTTTGTATTAGTAATTTTATATAATTTGTTTAATATTAAAGAAAAAAAAATGAAAATGGGACTACACTAAGGTCAACTTTAATAGTCAATGATTGAAATAGTATGTACTAAATTTTAAGTTTGAATTTTATTATTGTCAACATTATAGTTTTTATAAATAAAAAAGACAAAATAATAAAAATTAGAAAGTTAAAAGTAATAAAATTAGTACTATTTTTTTTAATCTTTTATTATTTTTTGTACTGATTTTAAAGAAAACTATGTTATGGGAATAATACTTTTTTTTTTTGGGGGGGGGGGG